GTGATGTGAACGAATGTTAGAGAAGGGGGCCATATAACATAAACTCATAACGAGTAATGTCATGCCTTTTCCAGATAGTCTCTCCACCTTAAATTTGCAAACGTACTGCGAGTTATATCCGCTGTAAGGCATCCAACTATGACATCAATTTTTAGACCTCATTTGCTAATTCTCCGTTTGGAATAAGTTTTTGATTACCGGTTGTCAATCTAGCAGCAGATTGATATCTAATTGCCAGTTGGATATTGCGGGACGTCTCGATTTCCTCCAAATTTGGTGTGCAGGGCCTTCTCAACACGCTGATTCCGAAAATCTCTGCCTTTGGGGTGGAATGTTGCGTAATTTTCGAGTTATACGCTGCGTAACATCCCAATGTGATATTGCGGGGCGTCTCGATTGCCTCCAAATTTGGTGTGCAGGGCCTTCTCAACACGCTGATTCCGAAAATCACTGCCTTTGGTGTGGAATTTTGCATAATTTTCGAGTAATACGCTGCGTAACATCTCAATGTGATATTGTGGGGCGTCTCGATTGCCTCCAAATTTGGTGTGCAGGCCCGGTGTAGCCGACAGTCAACGTGGCCGTCGCCGGGGGACAGGCACACGATTTTCCAGTGGTGCCGTGCCTCGCTGCTCAGGAAAAACGGCTCCCACAAGCCGTCCCGCGATGCCGTTCCGCAGGGTGACACCGGCTTGACGGCCGCTAGAAATATGTGGCACTTGTGCACAGGCGCACCCAAAATTTCACCAGAGGGACACAACTCCAACGCTTTCACTGAAAACCGCGGTACGGCCCTCGCCGTTTCTTCCGTACCTGGAACTGCTGAAATGGATGCTGCACATTGTTGATCTTCTCTTTTTTGCGGACTTGCATGCAGTTTTCAACTTTCAGCATACTGTTACCTACGCACGAATGCATGGCCTTAAATTTGGCAAGGGGATAGGTAGGATGAGGTGCATTTACCTACATGGGGGTCACTACTTAGCCCAATATTTGTCTCGGAGTAAGGTCAGAGAGAATTTGAGTTTGCATAGTTACGAACAGTCCTCCGTTGGCTCCCAAATCGAATCGACTAGGCTGCTCTGTTCACCTCTTCTCAGTTAACAGCATCCTGTTTGCGGTTTGTCGTCTTTTTTACACATCGACGTATATTTGCTTCCGCAGTACCTGTGCCTTCAGGCCGTGCCATCGTGCTGGTAGCTCTGGAACTTGTGCTTTTTATTTGCGTCTTTGGCTGCCCTAGCAAGGACGCTCTGACCAGTGTCCCTGGCTGCCCCAGAATGTTCTGTCTGATCCATCCCCATGGCCGTCGGCATGTGTAAGCGTACCTGGTGTGTGTCGCTGCTGGAGCTAAAATCGGACACTCTGTGGCCGGCGTTCGGCATCAGCTAGGTGTCCGTGCTGCTAACGCCGGTGCCATTCCAGGCGCGTCACGGTGCCACACTAGCCGCCGCCTGCCACAGCCAGCCGGCCAAAATGAAGTCCAACGGCGTGGTCATGGTGCTTCTCGCAGAGGTTGTCTTCAGGGCGGCGCCCGAGACTGGTGAGCTCGCCGAGGGATGCGGGCTGGCATGGGATCACGGAAGGATTGGATCGGACGGTGCTCGCTCAGAGTATGTCGCGATGCTGGGTCTCACTTGTGGATGTAGTTCAGTCAGCGTCCCAAAATGCATTCAGCGGGCTGTGCGGGATTTAAATATACATTAATGCTACCAGAATCCTGGCTATCCGGCGACGGCCCCGCACGCAACTGGTTTGCGCCAATCCGTTGCCCTTTGACCCGACCCAGACACCCGACCTACTTAGTGCATTTGTCAAGCCTGAGGTGCATAGATACTGGTTTCACAGCCACGCAGTCCGATGCTGATTGGCTGATTTTGAACAAGGGGATGGGCAGTCGGCAGTGAGCCACAAGCCGAGGTGTAATAACATGAAACATATCCACATACATGCCATCCAAGTGACCGAATATTAGAACACTGGGTTGAGCCGTCGATTCGTGCGACTTTGACGGTCAAGCGGCCTTTAGAACGCGGTGCATAGCCACTGTGAACGCTTTCATCATTTTGCCGTGCTGCCGCTGAGAACAGACTGTGAAGTATCTGTGGTGACAATTTGAACCATCCCAAACACGCTGTGGCTGCTATCAACTGGCTGCCGAATATTTAACATGGTTCTGTCTGGTTCAGATATTGCTCACGAGTGACATATCAGTGGTTGTGTTACTTGCTGAATTTATTCGGGATCTTTCTCTACGCTATTGTATGTGGTAGTCATGCTGCAGAATTCTGCTAAGCCTTGGTCTCAATTTAGATGCGTTCAACGCGATGTGCGTACCACTTGGTGATGTTTGCGCAATGACATATCTTCAGCTCATGTTATGGCATAATGCAAATGGCATTAAATGATAATATTTCATGTTTTGGTGCCCTGGCTTGCTGATAAGTTATGTATTGTAGCAGGCGATGTTTTGTAAGACTCGATGTTGTTGAAGCCTGTCTCGTCGCGACACCTGCGCCGATCGCTGGTCTGACTGGGCACTGTCGTGTTCACAGCTGTCAGCCTGATTCCGGGCTTGCCATCGGCCGTGTCTGGGGAGCAGACGTCTGGTAAGCCGTTCCCCATGGTGATGCTGGTTCACCTGATTCTGCTGACGCGCTTACTGATGGTCAAGCCGGTGTCGTTCGGCCAGCTCCTGGCCACGGCGGCAGCCGACAACGACGGGTCGGAGGCTAGCATCTTCAAGAGGCCGCGAAACAACAGGGGGTCAGGCGAGGTGATATATGCCTTCTCTTTTCAGGGTGAAAACGCGCTTGCTCTTCGTGGATCCAGTTTTGAATGTAGACGAACTTACTGACGGATAATTTGATATTAGATTCACTGGGCGGGATAGCCATATGCATAGTTGGTAGATGCGTGTTGGGGAAGTCAGGCTTCAATGCGTTTTGGAATATGTGCCCTGGAATTCCCCTTTGGGCCTGTCCGTATCAGTTCACTGGAGAAGGTCAGTTCGCGAGATGTAATTGATAACCGTGTGGTATGTGATAGCATTGGCATGGTGGTATGGCCCAGTGACATCCTTCTCAGCTTTGTTTTGTTTCTGACCTTTAAGTGGTGGAGTAATTGTCCGACATAGTCACTATCATTGTTTGTCCTAACCAAAAAACTGACAAGATGTCGCTTGTGACCAAACCAATCGTGCCTCACCGCTGGAGCCTGAAGATTTGGGTGATGTCACCGCCTGTCTTATCTCCCAAGGACGCTGGTGACGCTGGTGGAGCAGCGCATGCTAGTTGTGCACGCCATGCTCATGTTGTTGGCTGGCCGGCCACATCGGCCCGCTGCTGCTGACCGTGGTGGAGACACCGTACTACGCGAGCCGGCCGGACTGCGGTGGCGACACACCGATGGTCAGGCGGCCCAAGCAGCTGATAGCCGACTGCATGCCGAAGCATGGGACGGCACACGACGTGCGGCGCCGGGCGCTGACTGCCACCGACCCCGTCCTTGCCCAGGTGCTGACGGCAACCAGCCTCGTCATGCGAGATGACTGGCTGGATGGCGGCGAAGATGTGTGGCAGGGTCATTGTGCTGCGTTGCATCAGATGTTCACAGGAGCGCGGCGTGCGTGATCCCAAGAATGTCAAGAATCATAAGTGCGAGAAAAGCAGGTGATGGTGGCCTTGAGAGTGGTGTTTTGGAACTGATTTATTGTGAGGTCCGATGCGCCTAGCTCATAGTCAAGCATTGTGTCGTATGTTCATTTCCATATGCCGAAAATGTAATAAAGTCAAACTTTTTTAGGATGTTGTTTGTAACGTAACATACACTTCGCATGTGTACAAATTGCAGAAAATAAAACTTAAACTTGATTGAAGTCCCAAAGTAGTCGGCTTTTCACGGACCCACGGGTGCGCTTTAGTACTGTCATAAGCATCAAAAGCAGCGGCAGCGAGAATGATCACTTTCCATTTGTGTAATGGTGGGATGATGTTTCCTGACCAGACGTTTTTCCGGGAACGATTGTCCAAAGTCCAATCGAAACCACGAGGACGGATCAGCTCTCCGTCCAACAGCGTCCAAAAATCAGACTGCCAAGTAAAGTTCCATGCATGAAATACCGCTGCTCATTGCAACCCATAAGTACACCTTCTTCCAACCCACGGTACTGCACTTTCTCATTCTTAGCAAATTTTTTAACGGAAAACAGCATGCTCGCGGGCAACTAAGGAGAATCGCGTACTAAGGCAGCATTAATATCTTGCGGGTTTCACTGCCATTCGGGCAGCAATCTAAAGCTGCCACCTTCTACGCCTTTTAACTCCAAAGGCCTTGCATACAAAATTTGGAGGCGATCGAGACGCCCCGCAATATTACATTGGGATGTTACGCAGCGTATAACTCGAAAATTACGCAAAATTCCACCTCAAAGGCAGTGATTTTCAGAATCCGCATGGTGAGAAGGCCCTGCACACCAAATTTGGAGGCAATCGAGACGCCCCGCAATATCACATTGGGATGTTACGCAGCGTATAACTGGAAAATTACGCAAAATTCCACCCCAAAGGCAGTGATTTTCGGAATCAGCGTGTTGAGAAGGCCCTGCACACCAAATTTGGAGGCAATCGAGACGCCCCGCAATATCACATTGGGATGTCACGCAGCGTATAACTGGAAAATTACGCAAAATTCCACCCCAGACAGTGATTTTCGGAATCAGCGTGTTGAGAAGGTCCTGCACACCAAATTTGGAGGCAATCGAGACGTCCCGCAATATCACATTGGGATGTTACGCAGCGTATAACTGGAAAATTACGCAAAATTCCACCCCAAAGGCGGTGATTTTCGGAATCAGCGTGTTGAGAAGGCCCTGCACACCAAATTTGGAGGAAATCGAGACGCCCCGCAATATCCAACTGGCAATTGGATATCAATCTGCTGCAAGATTGACAGACGGTTTTGATTACTCGTGCCGGTTACGAACGAGGTTACTATCGTGACAATACCACTGCCCAAGGCATTTGGTCATCCTGGTGGGAGTGGGGGCTCTGGGTGTGGGGGGCAGGACCATTGTGAAAAGTGAGGGAGATGGGAGAAGAACATTTTACTGTGCTGGGATGTATATGACCTTGGTTAGCAGAATTGCCCTGTTTGGATTTTGGGGGTCTTCAGGATGATGGTACTTCCTGAAGCATACTTTGGACCTCAGGCCCAGACAATTTTTGACTATTTTTTGCTCTATAATTCGAATTTATGTGACATGAGATGTTGAACGAATGTATACTCTTTCAGTAATCATGGAGGTACCTCAAGGTTGTGAGCTAAATATAGAAGGACCTGAAGACAGCATCAGGAAACACCTGGAAAGTGATCAGCCAGCTGACATCCAACACAGGTTTGTACCCCAAAGGGAAGAGTTCCTACCTCTCCCAGCAACTGTTGCTAATGGAGAAAAGGAGTCATTGTATAGAGAATGGGCATCCCTGGACCTAGATACTCAGGTGGGTCTACCACAACTTCAGAGAGGATTCAAACCTGTTCTATACCAGAGGCTCCTGAAAGGATGCAAGACATAACATGTGTGCTGGCTGCCCCTTTAGCCCATGTATCCATTTTTGTACATGATGATCCTGCTCCCTATTATTTCATTCACTCCAGCAGAGGTAGCTGGAACAGCCCAGGTGCTCCTGGTAGGGCAGATAGCAAATGCCCTCGGCTGCTCTAGTAGCTCATTACTGTGTCCTCTCCACTGTCTTTGGCCATCCTTATTGAATGATACTCAGATGGGGAAAAGGCATTGAATGACAAGTAGGGGGAAAATGGATCGTCAATAGAGCCTTCTGATAAAGAGCTCAGCACCTCTAAACATGCAGAGCAGTATGAGAGTGGCCCCAGCATCATGTACACTAAAAGCACTTGACTCCATACTGTGTTTCCCTCTACAGGATAGGCCAATCAGCCCTGTGGGAGCAGTCACCATCTGACAGGCTTGAATCAGCCCTGTTGTTGGAGTGCTCATCTGAGCTCTCCTCTTACGTCATGGCTTTCTCAGAGCCACCAGTACGCTGCGTGAATCCATCGCAGCTCAGTGACCTGCTAAAGCGTGCCGCGGCAGCCCCACTGGCCGGGCGCAGCGCGCTCCCACTGCTGGAGCCGGTCGGTACGCTGCTGCGGCTGCACCTGGCGCTGCACGCCGGCGGCAAGGTGGCGGCGCGGCCCGGCCTCGAGTGGCCTCTGCGGCTGGACGTGAGCGGCCAGCAGTGTCGACCGGTGGCGCGCGACGAGCGGCGCCGCCACGCCGCCTACACGGACGAGGCTCTGCTCGAATGGCACCCGGTGCTGACGGCTGAGCCGGCTGCCGGCCTGGCGCGGCTGCGGCGCAAGTACGGCCTGCGCTCTCCGCCGCCGCCGCCGCCGCCGCCGCCGGCGGCCGCGGCCATGGCCCGGGCGAGCGGCAGTCCGCTGGGGTCACCGCCGCCGCCGCCGTTGCCGGCCCGGTGCCGGCGGGCCGGCCGCGCCGCCAGTGTGACGCGTAGCGGCGGCGAGCGGCGCGGCCGCCAGCAGCGCCGGACGCCGGCGGAGCCCGTGCGCGCCGTCAGCCTGGCGCCGGGCGGAGCGCTCTGGTGCTGCACCAGCGCCGACTGGGAGCAGCAGCTGCAGCTGCTCAGCAGTCAGGCGGAGCGACTGCTGACGGAGGCCCGCCGGCCCGAGGCTCTGCACTACGGCCAGCTGGTCATCCACCATGTGAGGATTGCCGCTAGAGATCGGGCGTCATGTGGAGCGGCCTGCGGCACTGAGTCACCCTAACTCACAATGTTGTGTGACTTTTGTATTGCTTGTTTTGTGAAGAGTCTTTATTTTAACCCACGCTTTTGTTGGCTATGCTCACGCGCATACAAACCACCACGGTGAGCGTTTCATGGTTGCCTCACTTCGTACGTTGCCGCCTGGTGGGTGCCTGCCCCTGTGTGACGGTGAGCGCCAGCCTCTGTATGGCGATGAGTGCCAGCCCCTGTGTGATGGTGCGGCGCGCGGGTGGCCGCAGAACTGCACGCTGCCCGAGCTGCCGCGGTTTCTGCGCTGCCTGAGCCTGTGGCGGCGGTGTGCCGTGCCGACGCTGGTGCCCGTCTGGCTCTGTGACATGGGCCGTACCCTGGTGGTGCGCCGCGACAGTCTGTTGGCGGCGCCGGTCGGGCCGCTCCAGCTGTGCCGGCGGCCGCCGCTGCTGGTCTTGCTCGCCGGCAGACGTGAGTGTCGGGGTGGGCGGGGGGGGGGGGGGGGAAGGGGAAGGGGGGGAGGAGGGGAGAGCGGACAGGTGAGGCGTGGCTGGAGAGAGTGGGACCGCCACGCCATGCCGTTACAGTCTGCGGGGACGAGGTGAGAGAGGATGCCGTGGGAGGCATATCTCATAACGGGGCTCTGGATATCAATGCTTCCCGTTTTATATCAATTACGTGCTCTAGGTCTGCATATCGTGTATCATTGTGCAAACGTAAAGCGACCCTTTGGTTTCAGAAAGGTGACTGAATGACCTTCCACATTTGAATTTCCCTACTTCTCTTAGTGCATGACGCGGCCCGTACGTCCTCAGCTTTGGATATGGAGGTGCCCGCTCAGCTGGTGGCCGACTGTCTCTCGCTGCTGGCCACCTCCCTCACTCCCTGCACCGACCGAGAGTTGAAGCAGCTGTCCGGTTGCCAGCTGGCGCTGCTGGCGGCGGAGGTGGCGCGCGCCGGAGGAAAGGCGGCTCCAGCAGCCGAGCGGCTGCTGCTGCACCTGGTCCGCACCTCGGACACCGCGCCCCTACTGCGCTCGGTGGGCGTGGCCTCGGCACTGACTGGTCAGTGGGCGTGGCCTCAGTGCCGATCGGTCAATGTCGGTGCAGCCGCACTAGCGCCGACTTACGCACCGGGCGTGGCTGGTGTGATGGCCAGCGCGCCGCACTGGCCGTCTCAGATATACTGAGCATGGAATCATGTTGGCCGTGCCTGGTCATACTGCCTGGGACGTGCTGTTTCCAGCGGTGGACGGCTGCCAGCAGCAGCACTACGGCCGGCATTGTGTTGTGACTGTATGTACCGATGTGACACTTGCCCAGCAGCAGCTGTGACGGCCGCCGCGACTGACACCGGCTGACGGAGTCCGTCTGTGGCGGCAGACGCGATACGCCGTCTGCTGGAGGCGGCCGGCCCCGACTCGGCCCGGCTGGTGCGGCTGGTGGAGGTGCTTTGCGCCACCGTCGGCCCCGGCCTCTCCGACCCGGTCCGCCACCTGCTGCATCAGACCCAGCTGCTACACAGTGAGCGGACGGTGCGGCGGCATCGGGCGGCGCCTGGCGCTCCCTCCGAGCACAGCTCCTGGCGCTGCATGGCGTCCGCGTCCGCCTGAACAGCCGGGGCAGCGCACAGTGCCGGTGGTGCCGAGATGCCACCACCGCTAGTTTCGCTCCGGAAGGCTGCGTGTGCTACGCTACTGCACGACAGTGATTGGAGTGTCAGTAGTGAGTTTGGTGATCATGGTAGTGCCGAGCGATGATGTCGGCGGGGACTTTGACCGCGGTCTCCCATGTGGAAGCCTACTATTATGGTGCGTGGTGTTCGTGGTGCAGAAAGCTGCTGGTTGGTCATTGGTGGTTTGCGTCACTGCCGGCTCCACCCACATCTCTCCCGCCGCCCCACCTCTGGAGGGGTGTGTCCCCTCGCCGCCGATAAGCAGTCCGCGCCGACTTCCCCACGGCTCCCCCGCCTCCCCACGTCTGGAGGGGTGTGCCCCGTCATCACTGACGAGCAGCCCGTGCGTTGTCCGGTCTGTGACGCGTCAGCCGTGCCCTGCCGCAGACCTGCAGCAGCTGTCTACGGATGACCGCGTGTCGGGGGCGCTCTCCCGGCTCCACGACAGCCTGCTGTCCGAGCCGACGCCGGGGTCGAGGAGGGCCGCCGCCCCGCCGCTGAGACCAAGATCCGCTGCGGCGCCGGCCAGGAGCGGCAGGCCGGCGGCGGCGCGGTACGCACGGCGCAGCACTAGCGGCGCCCCGGCCGTGGCCGCCCGCTGCTCGCGCTGCGAGACTCGCACTGTACGGTGGCACCCCGCCTGGTGAACGGCTCCTTTGGTGGGCATGCGCTGCTCATGGTCATACACGCTGCAAAACACTGCATGTGCTGCAAAACGTAGGACCCCCACGTGTCAATGCAGACACCGGCGTGGAGAACTATTCGTCGTAAATCGTGTTGCTTCCATCATGCTTCCAGCCAGCTTTATGCACGTGCTGCACTCGCGTCCACTGTTGATGCATCTCATGGTTAGAACCTCCCAATAGGATTTAAGCAAAACCATCCCAGTCCAATGGATCTGGTCCCCGCCCTACCAGCAGCCGCAGCATGTGTTGTCATCGGCGTAAATGGCACTCTAGCATCGGGCGACCATGCGGACATGCAGCCAGCGCTCCCGTCCGCGGCCCGTCTCTGATCTACACCGTTGTGTTTCAGGACGTCACCTCTGTCCGATCGGACGCCGGCTCGGCTGGACGCTCTGCCCCGGCCGGATGGCTCGGCGGCCGGCGGCCCGCCCGCCGCGCCCGCCAGCGGCCGGGCAGTCACACTGCTGCCTGAGGACCTCCACTCGGACGACGGCGGCTCGACCTCGGACGCGGCCGACTGCGCAGGTCAGCCGGCCGCTGACTCCCAGTCAGGCCGCGCTGCGCACAGCACAGCTACACACAGCACACAGCTCACCTGCACACAGCACACAGCACACAGATCAGCTGCACACAGCACAGCTGTGCACAGTACACAGCTCAGCTACACACAGTGCACAGCACAGCTGCACACCACAGCTGCACACAGCACACAACACAGCTGCACACAGTACACAGCTCACCTACACACACCACACAGCATGGCTGCACACAGTACACAGCTCACCTGCACACAGCACACAGCACACAGCACACAGCTTAGCTGCACACAGTGCACAGCTCACCTGTACACATCACACAGCTCAGCTGCACACAGCACATAGCACACAGCTCAGCTCAGCTCAGCTCAGCTACACACAGCACACAGCTCAGCTACACACAGTGCACAGCATAGCTGCACACAGCACACATTTCAGCTGCACACAGTGCACAGCTCAGCTACACACAGTACACAGCTCAGCTACACAGTACACAGTACACAGCTCAACTACACACATCACACAGCTCAGCTACACTGAGTACACAGCACAGTTGCATACAGCACACAGCTCAGCTACACAGTACACAGCTCACCTGCACACAGAACACAGCTCAGCTATGCACAGCACACAGCTCAGCTACACACAGCACATAGCTCAGCTACACACAGTACACAGCACAGCTGCACACAGCACACAGCTCACCTGTGCACAGTACACAGCTCAGCTATGCACAGCACACAGCTCAGCTACACACAACACATAGCCCAGCTACACACAGTACACAGCTCAGCTGCACACAGCACACAGCTCAGCTGCACACAGCACACAGCTCAGCTGCACACAGTACACAGCACACAGCACACAGCTCACAGCTCAGCTCAGCTCAGCTCAGCTATGCACAGCACACAGCTCAGCTACACACAGCACATAGCTCAGCCACACACATTACACAGCATAGCTGCACACAGCACACAGCTCAGCTGCACACAGTACATAGCTCGGCTGCAAACAGTGCACAGCTCAGTTACATGCAGCACAAAGTTCAGCTGCACACAGCACACAGCACAGCTGCACACAGTACACAGCTCACCTGCATGCAGCACACATCTCAGCTGCACACAGTACACAGCTGAGCTACACACAGCACAAAGCTCAGCTGCACACTGCATACAGCACACAGCTGAGCTGCACACAGTACACAGCTCAGATTCACACAGCACAAAGTTGCACACAGCTTAGTTGCACACAGCACACAGCACAGCTGCAGACCCAATCGAACAATGTAGGCCAGCAGGAGTTCAGAGCTCTTGTGCTGACAGTTACGACCGTTGACATGCCAGGAGGTGCTGGATAAACGACGTGATCAAGCGAGCATTGCTTGTATGGTCCGTGCTCGATGTACCAAGCTGCGCTTGTAGTCGGAAAGTCGATGACTGTCAGCATAAAACTCAACTCGTAATGCCGAAAACGTAGGACTTCAAGGACCTCTTTCTACTTGCTTGCTAACGTAATTGTAATGTTAACATACGTCAAATTTCGTCCACATTGCTGCAAGCCGCTGCTGCCGCTTTTCGCGCCCAAAGAGTTGAGTGGCATGCATTTGTGCATTCAGCAGCGTTTAAGCTGACAGGGAGTATCATACCGCTGGCTGCAGCCGGCTGCCCAGCTGTCGTGCGACGCACCGTTTGTGTCGGGTGTCCTCAGCCGAGGTAACAGTAGCGCGGTCTGGCTGCGCGTCTGGCGTCAAACCGGAGGTACGGGGTTCGATTCCCCGCGGTGGCCACTCTTCCTGTCAGGGTCAGAGGCAGGCGGCGGCACGTAGCGTTAACAGCGGAGTGTGTGGTAAAACTCCAATGACAACGGCGAAGGTTTCGACAGCCGGCTGGGACGAGGGCGGCCCAGTGTGGACCGGCCAGTACTGCCGGGCCGGCCAGCTGGCCCGGCTGGTGTCCGGGCAGCGACTTCAGCTGGAGCCAGAGGTGCGCCGTGTCACGAACATCGGCCGACTGAGGCTGACCCAGGTGGGTCGGCTGGACGAGCGCCCACACCGCCACTGTAGCTGGCGGGACCTATCGTCCTCACACAGCTGCAGCTTCTGTTCACCTGACGTCCTCACACAGCTGTGGTCTGTCTTCACCTGACGTCCTCACACAGCTGCAGTCTGTCTTCACCTGACGTCCTCACACAGCTGTAGTCTGCCTTCACCTGACGTCCTCACACAGCTGCAGTCTGTCTTCACCCAACGTCCTCACACAGCTGTAGTCTGTCTTCACCTGACGTCCTCACACAGCTGCAGTCTGTGTTCACCGGACGTGTTCATACAGCTGCAGTCTCTCTTGACCTAACGTCCTCATACAGCTGTAGTCTGTCTTCACCCAACGTCCTCACACAGCTGTAGTCTGTCAGGACCTGGCGTCCTCACACAGCTGTAGTCTGTCTGGTCCTGGCGTCCTCACATAGCTGTAGTCTGTCTGGACGTGGCGTCCTCACACAGCTGTAGTCTGTCTGGACCTGGCGTCCTCACACAGCTGTAGTCTGTCTGCACGTGGTGTCCTCATACTCACACAGCTGTAATCTGTCTGGACGTGGCGTCCTCACACAGCTGTAGTTTGTCTGGACGTGGCGTTTTCACACAGCTGTAGTCTGTCTGGACGTGGCGTCCTCACACAGCTGTAGTTTGTTTGGACGTGGCGTTTTCACACAGCTGTAGTGTGTCTGGACTTAACGTCTTCGCACAGCTGCAGTCTGTGCGCCGCTGCTGTTCGCCGCGACCTAACTGGTGTCTGGTGTGTCGGGCGCAGCTGGTGTGTGGGATGCTGAACACGGGCGAGGGCGGGTCCGTCTACTACGGCGTCACCAGGGAAGGCCGCATCAGCGGGCTACAGGTGGACCGCCGCAGTCGCGACTGTCTCCGGCTCGGTGAGCGGCTCGCGCCCGGTCTTTAGCGTCACCCGAGGCCCGTTCGGCCCGGCCGCGGCGCTCCGCCGTACTGGAATACGCGAGCTCCTCTAGTTCGCGCTTAGCCTGGAAACGAATATTAAACTGCTCTGAACATTGTTATGGCTTGCGAGTGTACACATGTAAGTTAGAAATACACATCAGTGCATTTGTTTTAAAACTTTTGAAACTTTTGCATGTTTATGCAGACCATAACCAGCAGCGCCAGACATTAGAAATGTCTGGCTACTATGGCCTTCCTTACTGATAGGAGAATAAAATGTCAGGAAACGTCCAGCGTGCTGCTCTGTTCTATTTTTAGCAGCACATTGACCAGTCATATTTTTATCTATGCCTCTACGTTGTACTTAAAGTTTGGCCCATAAGCACAGCGCGTGTTCCCATGCGTGTAATGGATGCCGTCGTGTTCGGTTGCAGGTCTGGACAAGACACTGAGTGATCGCCTGGTGCCGCCGCCGCCGCCCGACTGTTGCCGGCTGGAGTTTGTACCCGTACTGGGCCGCCGCCAGCCGCTGACCGAGTACCGGCCGGCCGAGCACAGCCTGTTCGTGGTAGCCGTCCACTGCCGGCCGGCCCCGGTAGGTGGGCTCGGGGGCAGCTGGGCCGCTCCAGGGCCGCCTCAGGACCGCCCGACAGACGGTGCGCTCGCGCAGGATGTGCTTGGCCGGGCTGGAGGACGTGCGATGTTGATCTTCTGGGCGTTGGACACGTTGGTGGTGGTCCACTGGGTGTGGAACACGTTGACGTTGGTCCATTGCAAGGGCGCTGGTCCCTTAATTACTTGGAACGTTGTGATTACTATGGGTTAGCATGGGTATGATCGCACTTTCACCATGTTTGGTTGCATTTACTTTCGCTTGACTTTCACCCGACGTTCTCAGCTTCGTTCTCGTTCGACCTGCTGTTATGTTTGTTATGTTTCGACCTGCAGGGGTTTGGATTGTTTGGTTTTGGTGCACCGTTTGTGTCCCACGAATGAACCAATTCTAATTGAGGCATGACATCGATAATTGTATCACATAAGAAAAGCTCGTATGTTCATTGTTCGTAAGGTAAGGTTGGCGTGCCCGATGTTTGTCAGAATAAAGTAAATGGGGCAGTAAGTTCGTAACGCCAAAAGCTAAAAGTTCGTACAGGATAAAGTTCGTAGGATGAAACAATTGTCTGGAAAGAGCTTTAAGGGAAATCTCCGTGCGCGCGTTCGTATGGAAAAAAGGTCGGTTCCTAGGCAAATGCTCGTCAGGAAGGAAGTTGGTATGTTAAAAGGATGAACGCAAAAGTTCGCATATCGATGTTAATTGCAAGCCAGCAAGGTTGGTAGTTAAACGTTTGTCAGGGATCAAGTGTTCGAAAAAAGCACGAACGCGGAAGTTACGGTGCAGACAATCGATTCTAGATCCGCGTCGTTGATGCGGAACCCTGGAAGAATGGTCACTGCCGAGGCCACCACGTCCCGCCGTTGGGGGGGGGGGGGGGGCAGGGCATGGGGGTAGACACCGGCAGTTGGTGGGTCAGGTCAAATATTATGATCAGCTCACCTCTCCAGGGCATGAAATGAAGCGCCCTCCGCCGGCCATTAAATAAACCCGAATCGGTGTAATCAGTGCGAATGACGCGGGGGTAGATAGCTAAACAAACTTGTCCACTGTTTATCCTCCGGCGTTTTTTTTTTTTTGTCCTGTTTCCCCATTATCCCGCACCCTGACGACGCCCCTCGCGTGACGTGTTCTGAGAGCGCCGCGGACACCAGCTGAATGCCGCGGCTGGTGTCAGCTGCATCGTGCGGTATGATGGGCAGACGTTTTTTTTTTTTTGCTAATGATTGCTGAGTTGAGCTCTACGTCGTAGATTTTTCCGCGGAGAACACACTTCAGCCAAATTTGAGAGCTGACTGCATGATTTGGTGCTCGGGTGGTCGATCTGTCCTGGAACACTTCCATACCAGTATCGTATAGAAATGTTAACTTATAAACAAACAAAGTCATTACTTCCTATGAATGCTTTTGCTTACACACTTTCGTCAAACGAATGTAATCCGCTCGAACATCTGTGTGCGCGTGTAAGTGCTTACGAACAATTACATGTGTACTCCATGCATAAGAATATTTTGCACGCGCACACGAACATTTGCTTTTGAACTATTTCCCTCTAGCTTTTGCGTATGGAGCTGTGGCATAGGAATTTCATACCATTCGTGCACTTGCGAAGAATTAATTACGTACGTCCTTTATGCCAACATACCTTTTCCTCACACAATTTTGTCTTCAAGCCATGCTCTGGCCTTTGATTTGCCGTACTTCCGTTCTGGCTGCATTTCTAACCGTCCCACTTTGTTCGGCCGCCGACAGCGGGAGGTGTTCGTGGTGCGAGACACTGGTGCCGCCTACCTGCGTGGCCCGGGCCCGGATGGTCGCGCGGCCAACCTCGAGCTCACCATTCCGCAACTGCGTCACCTGGTGGCGGAGCGCGAGATGGCGCTGGCGTCGCGCCGGGAGACGGCGCTGCGGTCGGCCGCCGACTGTCTCCGCCGAATGGCCAGCCGCGCCGCGCCCAGTTGCGATGTTTGTGGCGGACTGCTGCCGGCGCCAAAGCAGGCGGAACAGCCGCGGCCTGCTGCCGACCCCGTCAGACGCTGGCCGTGTGATTCGGACTCGTCCGGCCTGGAGATGGGCTGACGACGGAGAGCTGCTGGCCCGAGTCGTTGCGAGGTCTGGCGGGGATTTGGTCCCCGTAGGATCCTCCGATCCGATGGAGCTGGAGGAGGAGTGATGGAGCTCCGATCCGATCCGCGCTGGCCTCCTTTGCGCGCGAGATGGCGTTCGATGTGGTCGGCTCCATCGTTGCGGTCAATCAAGGCTACAGTTTTCCGATGTGTTTGTTAACCCAGAGCTTATATTTTCCCCCCATTGGGGAGGGGCAGAATCTGCCTCCGGGCGGATATGTTTGCTAGCAAAAAATAAATGAAGATATCCGCCCTGGACTTTCTGCGCTCTTTTCCCAATCAGTTCTACGCACTTCTTCCATCTAGATGCATTTTTGTGCTAAGGTTGGGAGGCACTGACGTTTTGGTTACGTAACTGCAGTAATAATACGATAAACATTGTTACACGATGCATGCAACTATTGTCTTGCATTGTGGAATACTGAGCCCACAAATCATTTTTTGGAAGAATTAAGCAAAATTTGTGTTACCTTGGCATATTTAAGGCCTAACAACCGCATTCCATATAAAGTAGACCATGAGTATGCACCCGCGTAGTAGCAGGCGGCGGTGGCAGCGGCTGAACGGTTCACCACGCCGCCGGCCGCCGACAGGCGACGGAACCATGCCAGCATACTTTTCAAACAATGTGATTCATTAATTTCTCGTCCTGACAGTATGTTATTTATTGATCTACAGAAACACCGTTGTGCTTTCTGAAGGCCGCTTTGACTACATTGGTAGTGAAGGAAACAAAATGCGCGGTTAAACCCATCACACATTCGCACCTTTCTTGCATGAGCGATGTCTCCTTCCCCATAAAACGCATACCACCACACTTCACTCGTCGGCCTTGTCCTTCAGAAACGGGTCGTCAATTTCGGTCAATAGCGCGACATATTTGACATCCGGTTTCGTTGTATTGATATGTATGTTTCGGTGCGTTGTTAATAATTTAAGTAGTTAAAAAACGTACTAAAATGAATCCACGGTGGCCCACGTACTCGACGCTACATATACGCTCCTATCAATGTTATCAATACATTTGTAGGATCTGGCCGCGTTCCCGCTCTATGGTCGCGCTTAATAACATTCGTGTGCGACTTTTCCCGCTGAAATAATATGCTTGATACATATGCTTGCATAAGCAAGAAAGGCCTCCAGCACCTAGTTTCCGAGGCATCATGAGCTAGACTTTTTGTGCTGAGTTACCAACCTTCAATACCTCAGCAAGCACTGGTTTAGCTACGTTATGGAGCAAACATGGGTCATGTCGACAGTACTCTGCATTTCAAGCTGTGAGCACAAGGAATGGTAATGAATGCAGCTCTGCATTTCAAGCTGTGAGCACAAGGAATGGTAATGAATGAGGGAATTAGGCAAGGGAATGGGGAGTGAAGCAAGGGAATGAAGCAAGGGAATCTGCATTATAGAGCACATCATGATAACGTACTAAGATGGAACTTCGGCAAACGTCTCACCAAAAAGACCGAGTGTGTTGACAACCAGCGAATAAATGTGACATCCTCGGGCGCTTATTCCCAAAAGAGACATTGCTTTTTGTCCGTAATGCTCTGCCTTTTGGTAGACTTTTTGGTCTGTAATATCCTGTTTAAAATCGAACAAAGCAGCCATCGTTTTCGGTTGTTGGAAGTGCCAGCCCGCGCCTGCTTGTGCTCTCCCATTGATATATTGTACCAGGCCGCAGCTTAGTATCCCATTTGCCGGTTCTTTTTACCTTTTTACTTGTCTTGCACTGAATTGTTAATTTGCAAACTTGGAAGATTGCTCTGCCGCGATAACTGTCCCAAAGCTCCGTCCGCCGATCTCTAGAAAGGGCTCGCTTTAAGTGAGTGTTGGGCTTATTACCCTGGCTGCAGCATGTGTTATGGCATTCAGAGCTGCGGCGTTCAGTCGTGCATTTTGTACAATCACAGCGAAAATAAGGTCCCTTGGCGTTTTACCGCCTCTGATTTCTCGGTGGTAAATCCTGGAATCTTAGACTGAACCTCACCACAAAGCTGCGGTGCGGAGCAGTTCTGGTCCTGGCATAATCCCACGGTAGCAGACAGGTCAGATGGGTGGGATCATCGATAGCCGGCCCATTCGTCTGACGGTGTGGTAGTGAAGCGTGACCGAAATCTGACTGAACTGAAGAAGGCGCTGTGCGGATGAGTCTGCACTTCAGGTAAATGGGTGGCACGCATCTATTCAGTCATCATTTTTCAAAAAGTGGGTGTCGTAATGTTTTGACTGAAACAAAATGACGCTGGGCGTGCAATCCATGTCAGCCCGGGCAAGATAAGGAGCACCTAAAGCGTCTCGAACCCTCCCCGCCTTTAGTATTTGAATCGGAATACAGTCACTCTAACTAACTGAACTGTTGGGAAAAGTTGCAGAAAGCAATGGAAACATCCGAGTTGTTATTGTTGCGGACAGGCCTCAGCATTTGGGAAAAACCAATGGCATATCGGGAGTACCAAAACGACATTTGGGATCGAAAAAGCAAAACAAGGTTAGCTTTCCCCTTGTTATGTTCAGAATTGTGTCTGACTTCCATGTAGGAATGGTGATTAGACTACCACACATATTTTCGAATGCATTGTTTGGTTTTCGTTTTTGTTTTGTTTACTTTTTAGCAGGCGCCTGGGTGGCCGATTGGATACCCTTGGCTTGGGTGGGGGGTCAATTTGACCCCTTTGAGATCTCAGGAACTGAGAGGGCTAGAGACACGAAATTTACAGGGTGTGCTGGTCTGTACGTGAACTCACTGAGGTCAAATTTTGAGGGTTGACATGACCTTTGGGTCAAATAAGGTCAAACAAGGTCAAACTCCAAGTTGGTCTCTTAAGTGTCCCGAGAACCTAGATACCTGGTCTAAGCAAAAGGTCACATGCTCATTTAAGGTCAGTGACCTTGTTCGACCTTTTGAGGGTCATGGTGACCGAAATAATAGAAGACTGCTTTGAGTCTTGCATCTGAATAAACGACAAAGATCACGCTAGGCAGTATGCCCCTAAAAACGAAATGTTGACCTGGGTCATTCTAGGTCTGTGGCCTATTCCGACCTTTATGAAGTCCATGGAAGATGTCTTATGCGGTTCCTGTCAACAACAAATTAGAAATGAACACCAGAAACTACACCATAAGGCAAACCCTGGAGTAATAAGACAGGTTGGTTTTGACCTTGACCTGACCTTTATACTTGACCCTAGGTCAATGTAATTTGGCCATTCAATTGTTGTGCTGCCTAAGAAAGTATCTCAGGGATGCTCGGCTCGGTCTCACACTCCGTTGTTTCATCAGATCGAACAATTCCTAGAAATTTACTTCGCTGGATGCATGGCCTGACTTGGACATACCGTAGGTCAGCGACCTTACAGGTTGCGTCTAATGTTTTGGTACCACACGATCCACTTTTCGACTGTCTACAAATAGGCAAAATTTGGCGGGGCTACGCCACGCCGTTCGGAAACTATTCCAGAAGAACCCTCGGAGGAGGGGGGGGGGGATAATTAGACAACCACTCAAGCGCGTGTTAATTCGGTGATGTTGAAATCCTACATTGGCACGACCAGCCACATGTTTAAGCTGGCTGGAGTCAAATATTCAGGTGCTTCTCACTTCTTTGACTTCCGAATGCGCCAGTGATGTTTCTCTATGCTTTCATCTAGGTCACGGTTCCGTCCTAGGCGTGGCAAAATAGGTTCAATGTGCACAAAATCTTCAGTGTAGTGGTATAATCGCCCCTTTCAAATGGGCCTCAGACACAATCGTCAATATCAAAATGTGTAATGTGTTTTTGTTATGCTTCGCTGTCCTTCATTTTAACCGTTTTGTTATCCCGGCGGTGGCAATGTTCTTTTCCGCGAATGCTGAAGCTTGCCCACAAAAATAATTGCTCATATTTCTCCTTACCTATTTTTGTACAATTTGCCCCAACAGCTCGGTTAGTTAGATCACCTGCATTCCGATGCACCTACTGGGGGCGTGAGGGTTCGAGCCGCTGTGTGCCCTCATTATTTGACCCTGGCTCACATGGATTGCGGTGGTAGCAGTGGGCGCGGCAGAGGTCAGGTGACGTCAGAGATTTTTGCCCTGAGGGTAGGACGTGCAGTACCAAGGACTGCGGCACGTTAAGCTTTCGCCGTAAAATGTCACCGCTGATCCGGAGTTTCACGATCGGATGGTGGTGTCGGGACTCACCCAACAAGCACCACCCAGCATGAGTGCTGATCCCAGAAATCTATCCAACCAAAGTGTTAGGACTGAATCTTCTAAAAATGAAAAAAAAACGAATGCCGCCTTGATTCCTTTGTTTTTATGCCGCATAACGTACCGTTCGGTATGTTATGAAAACTAAAGGCCAAATAACGATGCATGCCTTCCACCCAGTGGCTGGCTACGACAGAATCGAGCGCACAGCAACCTCTCCCGCTCACTTTGATTCCGGCCAAGTCTCACCACCTCGCCGTCGGACAAGTGGCCGGCTCTCAGCCACGCCACCCAGCTAGCTGACCTGTCTGCTGCCGAGGAGTACGACTGTTCCGCACAGCCGCTGTGGGCCGTGTTACAGCTGGAGGCTTCAGGATTGACCTCTGGGAAGTAAGGCGCACTGGAGCGCGTGGAGACCATGTTTTACGTAATTGTGCCGTCTTTTCACAAATTGCATAGCACTGCTTACTGGCGGCTATGGGGATTTTTACTCTGTTGAGGCCTTGCTAAATGCAGAAGTCTCTACACACTCCTTTCGTGTTCATCAGTTTGAAGGCTTTATATAACCGGGCTGTTTTGTTTCAATAACTAAAAATTACGACCCTAATGCTCAAGGCACAGGTTTCAAATATTTCTGTCCAGGCATTTACCGTTTCTTGCCAGAGGCGACTTAATGCGCACCTGCTGTACGTCCGGCGCGGTGCATTGCGTAATCTTGTTTCGAGATTTCTCGAAAAATGAAAAAAATCGTGCATCATAAATGTCTTGCATCCTGCATTGTTCTCATCGAAAAACCTCTTTGTTGCATGTGCTTGAAGGTTATTTAACTCTGCTGTTGTTAATTATCGGGATTGTAATTCCAAAGAAACATAAAGCTCGTCTGCTCAATCGATCTAATCAATCAAGCAGTCTATCAAGCCGCTAAGCCCTGAGGCTGAGGAGCAGGAGAGCACAGAAGCTAGGCGAACTAGTTGAGAAAATAACGGTTTTCTTTAATAGGATTCGTGTATCTGGTGTAAGATAACGCGCAAGCATGGTGTCAGGGTATTTTAAACGGGATTAAACAGGGTATTTTAAACGTCTTCCTACGGGATTTTCTTACCTTCGCCGTCAGAGGGTGGTCTCGAAGGCCTGCCCTAACATCTCGAAAACTAAGCGAGATAAGAGCAACAAGTAAAACGGTAACGGGACGCGCTCTCGTCAAGTCTTATCAGACATATACGACTGGACAATGGTAAATGGGACACTGAACAGGTAAAATTAGGTCACAGGAACCACCTTAGCTAGTCACAAGAACTCAGCATGCCAACAAAACGACGAAGTCGCCCTTGGAAAGCTTATAGATATGCACTAGTGGATATCGACACCTGTGATCTGTAATGTGTCGTGCCAAGCCAAAAGGGTTAAGGCGGACAGTCGCATTGGCCCGTCCGGCAAGGTCACAAACTAACCTAAACTAAACTATACTTAACAAACCACATGATGGAAGAACGGTCTCAGAGAGGCCTTTCAATACGTTAATGTATGGACCATTAAGATTGAGATTATACAATCTGAAACAATTAAACCTGGTCTCGAAAGACGAGAATTTTATCTGGCTTGACGTTGAACGACATCGCCTTCGCAAAATCACCAGATCATCCACCCATTTATCCTCTGTCTCGCTTTATCTTGCATCCCCGCGGCGCCCCCGTGTGTCCGGGGCAGGCTGCACGCTAACCACGAACGAGCCGAAGTGTCCCCTGGTGGGGCTCCCGTTCGGGCACCAAGCACACACCCCGCAGAGTGAGTCGAAGTGTCCCCTGGTGGAGCTTCCGTTCGGGCACCAAGCACACACCCCGCAGAGTGAGTCGAAGTGTCCCCTGGTGGGGCTCCCGTTCGGACGCCGAGCACACACCCCGCAGAGGGACCCTCGCCCGGCAAAGCCTCGGCGCATGGATCCTCAGTGGCATGTAGTTCTGCCCCGCCGCTATCCATTCTTCTATATGCTGCATCCCTGAAACGGCCATGACTGACTGAAAGGGCTCTAATCCAAATAAGCAAATAACCAAACCAAGCCACTTGAACGATAGTAACGCGCTTCACAAAGACATAGACAGAAAGACAAAAGCAACAGCAACCTTTCAACGTCAGGACACACCCTGAGATGGTCTGGGGGCAAAAGCTTGTTGCTTCTTTTGACTTGTATGATATGTCTTAAGTATGACTTTGGCATAAATTTGGTCATATTTATCCTCATCACTATATTTGCAACATGCCAAAGACCTTCCGTAGACTATGAATCGTTTTATAGAATGTAGTCCTGAAACATGGGCGGAGTTGCCGTTGAAAAATGTCCAATATTTGGGTTTTATTGCGCTTCTGAACCCTTCTTTCTAAAACCTTTATTTGTTGGGCAAGAGATAAATACCTTGTTGTGTTGAATCAGTCGGCGTACTTTCCGTTAAAATTGGACAAGTGGCTCGTAAAGTCTGTGAGGGGTGTCAAAATCTGCCCTCCCTGTAGGCCAACATGAATTTCACGGTCCGCAGGAAACCGGGTTAAGCCATTTACCAAAATGCATCCTGGACCTGCGGCGAAATCTATAAGTGGAGTCTGGATGTGTAAAGATTATTCGACGGTGTGACAAGTTTGGAGTGTAGGTGGGCCATTCGGCAGCAGTTTGAATGGGGTCAAGGTCCAAAT